TTTTTTTTTTTTTTACTTTATCTGGATTTTACGATTTTATTCTTCAAAGAGCAAAGGGGAACATTAAAAGTCCCTAATACGGCCCCACTGAATGTTAACACCCATATCCTTCCTCCCCACCCACGAATCATTGTTATAAGGTGGCAAGGAAAACCTCAAGTCACACAGCAGCCTGATACCTATTCAGTCACTCACTCGTTCCTACAGGCATGCGTGCGTCAAACACGTATTGAGCGCCTATGTGTCCTAGGAAGTTTTCTAGGTCCTGGGGGATGCGGGGAAAGATGGACCAGAAATAATAAACCAGCTGTGTGCAACTCTTGATCTCGGAGTCGTGAGTTTGAGCTCCAGGTTGGGTGTAGAGATTACATAAAAATATAATCTTAAAAAAGAATAATACTAATAAACTAGAAAACCCTCTAGCAGGTCCAAGCAGAGAGAGGGGATAAGAAGTCGAGTGTGAGGGTGTGTGATTTGAAACAGGAGAAGGGGTCTGGGAAGGTCTCGTTGGAAGGTGCCATTGGAATAGAGACAAGGAGGGTGTGAGGAGTCTGGTACCAGGCAGTGGGCATAGCAAGTGCAAAGGCTCTGAGGCAGGAGCAAGCACTGGCAGCCTCTGTCCGCTCTGGTTTCTGCTTCTGCTAAATGGGGGTGTTTCCCCCTGCTTTGCAACGTCGGGGGAGCATTCCGTGGGCTGAGGTCGGTCCCCTGTGCAGGAATATTTCACTGCTACATGGAGTACACGCGACTGCGTGGCGAGGCCGGCTCCGACATCTCCCTGGTGGACCTCGGCTTCCAGACAGACCTCCGCGTGTACCTGCACTTGCGGCAGACCTGGATGGCCTTCAGTGAGTCCCAGCCCCCCCATCCTGCCCTCCGGTGAGGCCTGGGAGGGAGCGGGGACAGGCAGCTGGCAGCCTCTGCTACCCTCTGCCTCCCGCAGTGATCATTCTGAGCATCCTTGAGGCTGTTATCATCTTACTGCTCATCTTTCTGCGGAAGAGAATTCTCATCGCCATCGCACTCATCAAAGAAGCCAGCAGGTGGGTGCCAGGGTGCCCGGGGTTGGGCTGGGGTTTGCCCCGGGGCTGCTGGGGCCCTGATGCCTGTGTCTGCTCCTCCCCAGGGCGGTGGGATACGTGATGTGCTCTCTGCTCTACCCACTGGTCACCTTCCTCCTGCTGTGTCTTTGCATCGCCTACTGGGCCAGCACTGCTGTGTATCCACCGTCAGACCCGGATCCCTGACCCCCCCGGGGTGGGGCGGGTGGCTAAGGGCCAAACTTGCCTGGAAGTGACCTGCAGCTTGGGGGCAGGGCCGGAACCTGGTGGCAGGGGGTGGGGGGAATGGAGCCTTTCTGGGGTCCCTAGTCCCACATGTTGGGTTCCTTAATGAACCTCCAGCTTCCTGTCCACTTCCAACGAAGCTGTCTATAAGATCTTTGATGACGGCACCTGCCAAGTTGCCGGGAAAACCTGCAACCCTGAGGTGGGGGTCGGCTATTTCCCCAGCAGCCCACAGGCTATCTGAAACCTGCCATCTCTCCGCTTGGGGACCATTCAGCAAACATTCAGTGCCTGCTGTATGCCCTGTGCTGGATGTGGGGAGCTTGGAGGGGAAGAGCTCCAACTGGGCAGCCCCACCCCACCCTGAATGCTGGGCCACACCCACCTTTCTCCCCTTGACTTCATTTCCTGCCCCACACCCCGCCCTTAATCCAATGATAGCCAGTTCTTGTTTCTAGAACCCCTTCCTTGCCTTTCATAAGCCCCTGTCCTGACCCCTGTGGTCCTCATACTGATCTCTACCACTCTTGTCCTGTCCACGTGACCACTCAACGGATGCATGACCCCACTCTGATCCCCAGGATAGGTTATCCTGCCTCATCGACACCTGTGGAGTCAACAATCCCGTCTTGCTTCTAGAACCCCTATTAAAAGCCCCTATACGGAACTCCCAATCCCTTGGCTTAACTCTGACTCCCATGACTCCTGTCCCACTCCATGAGCTACCTGACCCGGGCCTGATGCCCAGAACCCCCTCTGAGCCCCTGTCCCCTATGTTGTGACCCGGCTCCCCATCCTTCCCGCAGACCTTCGCCTCCTCCAATGAATCTCGCCTGTGCCCCGGTGCCCACTGCCAGTTCGCCTTCTATGGTGGTGAATCCGGCTACCACCGGGCCCTGCTGGGCCTGCAGATTTTCAATGCCTTCATGTTCTTCTGGCTGGCCAACTTCGTGCTGGCCCTGGGCCAGGTCACGCTGGCTGGGGCCTTCGCCTCCTACTACTGGGCCCTGCACAAGCCAGACGACCTGCCTGCCTTCCCACTCTTCTCTGCCTTCGGCCGGGCGCTCAGGTGGGACGCTGGGTGGTCTGGGGCCGGGGGCGAGATGGGCTGGAGGAGCCTTGGCCTGGCCGCTGACCACCCCCTTGGCCCTCAGGTACCACACAGGCTCCCTGGCCTTTGGCGCCCTCATTCTGGCCATTGTGCAGATCATCCGAGTGATGCTCGAATATTTGGATCAGCGCCTCAAAGGTGCGGCCCACCAGTGGCTCACGATGGCCAGTGGGAGGTGGGGCTGGGGGGCGGGGTTAAGCCAATGGGACTGTGATTGGTTTCTGCTTGTAGGGAGCTTGATGAGTTCCTAAGGTGGAAGAATGGCTGAGGGAGTCCAGTGGGTGGAGTTCTTAACCCTGGGGTAGCGGATGTGGGACCAGGAGGCCTGGGGCACCATTGGTTCCTGAAGAGACTAGGATTTGTGTGTGAGGAGAAGAGCGGGGCTAAGGCTTATTTTTTGTTTTTTGCTGCGGTGGAGCTTGGATTGGTTATTCTTTGGGGTGGGGCCAAGGAGGCGGCAAGGATTGGCTTCTGCTTGGGAGGCGGGGCTGGGGCAGGTGTGTGGTTTGTGATTGGTCCCTATCCTAGAAGCTGGGTTGAAAGGCTTCAAGATTGGGCCCCTCGTAGGGGTCCGAGCCCCTGGCCCGGTTGGTTCTTACTTGGGTGAGGGCCAGGCCCCCCGAGGGTTCTGGATCAAGTTTCCTTTCCCTGTCTCTTTGAGAAGGCAGGCTCCGGAAATCTGGATTGTATGCATGTTATGAGTGTGGAGGGTGGTCCCTACCGGGGGTCTCCCCTCACCTCTGCGTCCTTCTCTTCTCTCTTAGCTGCAGAGAACAGGTTTGCCAAGTTCCTCATGACCTGTCTGAAATGCTGCTTCTGGTGCCTGGAGAAGTTCATCAGATTCCTCAACAGGAATGCCTACATCATGGTGAGTAGACCTGGGACCCCGAACCAACCCGCCAACTCCTGCCGGGTGAGAGCAGCCCTCGTTCCCAGCCGGTGGGCCTGATCCCTCCTCCTCCTCCTCCTCCTCCTCCTCCTCCTTCTCCTTCCAGATTGCCATCTACGGCACCAACTTCTGCACCTCGGCCAGGAATGCCTTCTTCCTGCTCATGAGAAACATCATCAGGTCAGGGAAAGCACCATCCTCTGGCTGCCTCCCTCCTCCCCCCGGTCCCTGAGCCCCTATTCATGCCTGCTCCTCACTGTCTCCTGCAGAGTGGCTGTCTTAGACAAGGTTACCGACTTCCTTTTCCTGTTGGGCAAACTTCTGATCGTGGGTAGTGTGGGTGAGTGCCGCTGGTCAGCCTACCGGGGGGGCTGTGGTTGGGGTGACTTGTGAAGTGCTGTCGGGCCCCACGTCTTCTTTTGTGACGCCTGCCATGGTGTCTGAGGTCTTCTTGGGGGGAGGGGCCGCTTCCTTTAGTCAGAACCCTCAACCATCTCCGTTACCTCCCTCTCTCCAGGGATCCTGGCATTCTTTTTCTTCACCCACCGTATCAGGATTGTGCAGGACACAGCACCGCCCCTCAACTATTACTGGGTCCCCATACTGGTACGGACCTTTGGGGACGGGTGGGGATCCAGGGAGAAGGAGGCGCTGGGGTCCTTCTGGTCTCTTTTAACTAGACAGATGTGGATGGAGGTCAGAGGTGGGGGATTGATTATGTATTCAGTCCCACAAACACGTAGTAAGTACCTACTGTGTGCCAGACACGGGGGGAGGAAGGGCTTCCCTCCAGGGGGCCTTCCAGTTCAGAGGCAAATAGACATCAGTCAGGAACGATACGGGTGGCTGCACGATTGCACACTGACTCGTGCCACCGGCGAGGCTTACGGGGAACCGTTAGAGCCTGTGCGGGAGGATTTGGGCAGGTCTGGGAGGCCCGGTGTCTTCACTGTGGAAGTGATGTCAGATCTAAGATCTGAAGGAGATAACAGGCCACATCCAGGCAGAGGGAACAAGTTCGGGGGCCGTGAGCTGGGACTGTGCCAGGAAATGAAGAAACCGGTGTGGGGGGAAGGAGGTGGAGATAGGGGCAGGGAGGTGATGGGGCCGTGGAAGTAATGTCATGCACCCTAAGAGCAGTGCAGGCCTTGGAGCTCAGTGACCTAGAATTTTATCTGACTCTCTATTTGCTCGTTCTAAGATGGTAACTTTGAGCAAGGTATTTAATCTCTCCATGGCCCGCTTCCTTAAAATCCATAAATGTTTATCAGATACCTGCCAAGGCCCTGTGAGCCTCCAAATTGCTGGGGGTGTAGCAGTAAGTGGGACAGATACAGTCTGATGGAGATGAGGGCGTTTTGTCTGTAGTACCCTAAACATGCATAAAATTGCAGCCAGGGTCTAGCTGTCAGAAGCAGCTTCGTAGAGGAAGTGGTATCTGAGGACTCCACGTTTGAGCTGGAAGCAGAAAGATAAGGAGGCCTTAGACTAGATTAAGTTGGGACACCAGCATGTGCAAAGGCCCTGGGGTTGAAGAGAGCAAGGAGTGAATGGCAGTACTTTGGATGTTACTCTAAGGAGGGCTTATCAGCAGGGAAATGACCTGATCCCAGCCTGGGAGGGTGTGGCGGGTGGGAGTTACCCTGGGAGCTGGGGTGGAAACATCTTGGCTCCCCTTGCCTAGACGGTGATCATCGGCTCCTACCTGATTGCCCATGGCTTCTTCAGTGTCTACGGCATGTGTGTGGACACGTTGTTCCTCTGCTTCTGTGAGTGACCCCTCACCCAAACCCTTGCCAGGCCCTGACTGCCTTCTCCCCTCTGGGCATAACATCTTCTGATGGGGCTATGCATCCGACGGCCAGGTGCCCCCAGCTTCCCCGGGCGTCCGAGGGCCCTGGCATGCCTTCTCGGCTTCCTCCCTGCGCTCGGAGCTGCTCCATCCCGTTGTGCCCTGGTCCGGCCTGCAGCTAGAACGCTCTGCCCCTGGGCCCTCGGCTTTGGGGTTTCTGGCTTCGTTGGGGGGGATCTGTGGCTGCTACTAACTTTGGTCTCTCCATCTGTCTGTTTTTTGTTTTGTTTTTTGTTTTTTCTCTTCTCTTCCTCTACTCCATGCCTGCTGGCTTCCCTGTTCTTCCCTGCCTCCCTCTTTCCCTCCCTTCCTGACCACCCCATTTTCCCCCTGCCGGTTCCTGGGGGGAGCCCAGGTGAGGACCTGGAAAGAAATGACGGCTCTCAGGAGCGACCCTACTTCATGTCGCCCGAGCTGAGAGACATCCTGTTGAAGGGGAGTGCGGAGGAGGGGAAGCGGGCAGAAGTCGAGGAGTAGAGAGGGAGGGAGGCGTGGGGGCCACACAGGCCTCCTCCTTTCCTCCCCGTAGACTGGGGGTGCATGCGGGACTTCCCCTGCCCGGGAGCGTGGGGAGCGTGTGTGTGTCCCGTTGCCGAGCCTTCCACGGCTCGCCCCTCTCCCGTCCCGGCGTGTCTTGCTTCCTAATCCTCTGAGGCTTCTCTGTGGCCCTCGTCCCGTCCCCCCCACCCCACCCCCGTCCCCGGAGGCCCCTGCCCGGGGGCTCCCCTCATGCCACGGTCTCTGGGGCCTCTCTCCGCAGTGGAGGACCTGGAGAGGAATGATGGCTCAGCCGAGAGGCCTTACTTCATGTCTCCCAACCTCAAGAGGCTCTTGAACAAGACCAACAAGAAGCTGGCGGAGTCCTAAAGGCCCCGCTCCCCAACGCCCCGCACACCTCTCCAGAAATCTCACACCGGGTGCTCGGCAGCTGGGCCAGAACCCTTGGCCCGCTGGGCTCACGTGAGGTCCTGTCACTGCCGCCCCCCCC